ACGGACACGCGTAGCCGCGCCAGAGACCCAGCCACCCTCACTAACGGGACGCCAAAAACACCCCACGTGTCGGCTAGTCTACGCCCTCAACACGGGACCGACTCGTCGCAAGAAAAAAAATGCTCGCGTGAGGATTTCCGAAGCAAAGTCCGAAAAAAAAGATGTCTCTACACACCCCCATTACTATCTCTGTCGTGTAACCCAGAGAGGAGAAAAGCCAAGTCCGCCCCCCCCCCTCTACCTTTCTGGTATGCCTATTTTTGAAATCAACCTATAATAATCGGGCGAGCCCTATTAACCATTTGGAAGGGAGAGGGGGGGTTCAAAATAACCATGGACCAAAATACCTGACGCGTATTACTCCTACGCGTATTCAGCCAGCCCACTCTCACACAAACCAACACCGCAGGTAAGAAGGCTGCACTACACTGCACAACTCACCTCATCCGCAAGTACCCGTCCATATATCGGGTAGTAGCTCCAAACATACCATTACCCCCCGTTGTTGCATCACACTCCCGCTCCCCCTGCCCCCCCATCTTCGGCCCCCATCTTCCGCGCGCCCAGCCACGCACACACATACGTACATTGGCACGTACGTTGCATCCCCCCATGTCCCAGCTTTGATTCCCGCATTTACCATGCAAATAGTCTGCAAGTAAAACTACTTACGACTCTAGAACCAACATTGCATGCAATATCCGCCAAGCGGCTTCTCCATTTGTCTAGCGGCATCCAAGAAAAGTATCATCATCATCATCATCGTCCAACTTATGTACAGAGTAGAAAGATAGTACTACTTAGAGTAAGTACGTTTTCTTGGCAAAGCTACCTGAGTACCGCTCTTTCCAGAAAAAAAGCAATCAGTTCTGGGGCCATGGTGGCGACTAGGGCCTTTTCTTTAGTTTAGTTTTTTCTTTTCTTAGAGCGGCGGGCGGGTGCGGACGACTTTTGCGACTGCGACTGAAGAGTATGGGATGATGGATGGATGCATGGGGAAGGTGAGCGGAAGGGATGTGGCTAAGTTAGGGATTCACGAAAAAAAAGAAAGAGCCAAGTTAAACTACGTATCTTTTCAATGTGTGGCTGATGGAGCTAACTAGCAACTTGTTGTTCATCCTGCATCTTTGTGTTTACTTTATTCTTTGCTCTTGTCTCTGTTCTTTAAATAATAATAAAAAACTTGGTTTTGCCTTGTATGTAAGATATGGTGCTGGCAAACCGGCACTTGCTTTGGCCAGACCCATGTGATGAGAGAGAGGATCGTGGGTGGGTGGGTGGTTGCATTACTACTCCGAGTTAGTGGGTGCATTTTTTCCAAGGCTCAGGACAGGAAATTTTTCAAAGGTCGAAATAGGCAAGCGTATGGCGTTCTGCCGCGACAAGACGTCATCGGGCATATCTTTCACATGGAGCGCCATGGAGACGGAGTCTGGTTTTTTCTTGATTTGTTTATTGACCTACGTATGGCGAGTGGGGAAACGGGATAAATGGTAAATGTTTATGCAAGGCAAAGCTGCGTGACAACGCGATGCATGGTCATGTGGCTACCTTGGCGGTGACTGTGATTCTGATGCATAGCTCATGCGTTATTAGACTTTCACCAGCAATGCCGATGCGATACCCGCCTTAGATCAGACGAGAACACTGTTCCAAGCACTGGGCTATCACCACAAACATATAAATGACATCATCACAAGGCACGCGACCAGCTTTGCTGTGTTTTTGTGGTTGAATTACTAGATAGTTTGACGTGCTTTGAGCACGCTTCTCAAAATACAACACGCCGATCGTCTTGACGACTGCGACACAGGGGACGCTGGCCCATCTAGGCCCTATGCACATGACATGTTTTCAACACAGTTGTCCCAGAAAAAACTCCTCGAAAATGCCATATGCGATAAGAAAATTGGTATCCGTAGATATTGGAAAGCCCTGAACAAAAGAAATCGTTACCCTAACAGAAATGAAAAAGAAAACCAAGAAAGCTTGGTAAATGGTGCCGGGGCGGACCGGAGGTTCTCGTTTGTTACTCCGATCGGCGTGACCGTTGTTGTCTGGTTATGCATGCTTGGTGGATCAATCGTCCATGGCTGGCTTACGCCATGTTTGCAGCGCCGTGCTTCTCGTCCTCGCTCTTCTCAAACATGGTATCCTCAAGCCACTTGGTGGCCTTGGCGCACTGTGCGTCGACGTAGGTGATCCAGAGATGAGCGATCGTGTACTCGACAACGAAAAAGAGGGGGATTGCTAGTGTCCAAACGAGCCAGTTGGTGGTCCTGGGAATGTAGTGGTGAATGGCTTCGCCTTGGCCGTCCTTTGGTTGCTCGACGTGGTATGGGGCTGTGCTGAATCCATAGATCAATCGTGCAAGTCCAACCTTCATGACGGTTCCGTGCGTCAGGTAGACGGCAAAACTATTGCGGCCAACCCACATGAACAGCTTGTTGGAGAAGAGGCTCTGCAGAGAAGGCGAAAGCCAGATTCCAGTGACCATGAGATCCCATCCAATAGCAGTGAAGCGCTTTGGGTAGCTTGCAGCGCCCTGGGGAATGATCCAGTCTCCAATGTTCTTGAGCTGGACAGACCAGGTCGCCCACTCCCAGTTCTCTCCGGGGAAGCACGCCACATACCAGCCGAGGATGATGAGGAAAGCGGTAGCAAATCGACGGGCCTTGACGCGGTTGTTGACGAAATCACGGAAGCCCTTCTCCGAGCCGAGGTCGCAAAGGATAACACCGTAGAGGAACTGGCACTCAAAAGTTTCTAGAATATGTTAGCTGCGAGTTGAGCTGTAGGAGCAGGTGTGACATACCCTTTTCTGGGCTCGTGCGCATCCAGTACCAGAAGAACAAGACAACGCAGGTGAAGAGACGCATGCGGAACTTCATGAAGACGGTGGCGAACAAGAGGATGTAGATGAGAAAGGCGCCCTGAAGGAGAGGCAGAAGAGCCCATTGGTGGTCGTCGTACTCGTTGTTGGCGCCAGACCAGGATGTCTGGAAGTTCCTGATCAGTCGTGGAATCTCCGTGTCGAGGCTGCCAATGTTGGTAGGGACAGAGCGTCGGAACCAGTGCGAGTCGCTGCGGTGGGCAATTTCAAAGGCACCCAGCTGGGCGAAGAACCATGCAATGACGAGAGCGATTGTGGCGGGCATAATAAGTCGGGGCGGGCGGCGGAAGGCGGACTTGCCCAGTGTCTCTAGGGCTGCTGGAATGTTTCCAGACTTTGCCTGGCGGAGAGGCTTGATGGCGCACACGTATCCGGTGAGGAAGGCAAACATGGTGACACCGATACGGCCTTGGAAAGGTAAACGGATAAAGGGTAGTTGGAGCAGTTGGGGTGCTGCGTTCTCATTGTCGCGCGGCGACCAGAGGCTGTAGTCCCAAGCTCGGCACAAGTGTGTTACCACGACCCAGAAGGAAGCGACGCCACGAACACCCTGCATATGTCAGAGACACGACACGAGACGGAGAGGGGGGGAAGTAGAATTTGACTGCATACCTCTACCCAAGTGACATTTTGGCGGTTGCTGGAGGCCATCTTGCCTGGACCAGCGGCGGGCTCGAGGGGAGTCGCAAGGCTTGAGATTGTGGCGCGAGCGAGCGACAACGGGGCCTTTGCAATGAAAGACATGTGCATGCAGCGGACGTGGGCAGCGCTTGGAGGGGGAATCGGAGCCCAAGGAAGCAATGGAGAGGGCGTGGGGAAGGTGGTAAGGAAACGAGAGAGAGGAAAGTAAGGAAAAAAAGAGCGACTGGCGGCGACTATAGCAGCTGCATTGGAGTGGACTTGGGCCGACCAAGAAGGAAGTTAAACGCATCACCAGGGATGGAGCAAGTTCCCCCATGCGAAGACGGCTTCTCGGATGGGATTGCTTGGCGCGATATCGATCTGTCAAGCAGGAGCAGCAACGGGATGGTCGTGTCATTGGCTGTGGGGCTGAAAGGAGAACAAGCGCCGGGCGTGCATGGGTGGCCGCGTCATAAAGGCTGGGCGTGAGAGCACGACGCCCCCACTGGTTTCAGGCAAGGGAGCCTTCTTGGCAGTCAGCAGCCGCATGTGGCGGTGTCTTTTGCTGCTGCACAACGAGCCTAACTAGTACGCAGCAATAGAGTGAGTGGCTACTTGGACACACCTACACCTCTCCGCCGTGCCGACTTCCGCTCAGTGCAATCTCCAGCAGCCCAGCCCAGCCCCCATCCCCTCCGATGACCGACCGGTCGCCCGGCCCGCCAAGCTCCGCCCGCCTGACCGGGCGGCCTCTGCCATGGACATGTGGGTGTGTGGGTGTGTGGGTGGGTGGGTGGGTGTGGGTGCTGGTGGTGTGCATGGCGCCCAGTCCGGCATGTGGCGCGGAAACAACACGTTGAGCCACAGTTACTGCTCGGGGGCGGGATCGTCCCAGTAGATTACACGCCAGCCGCTGTTTTATGTGCACCCAAGGCCGCGCAATATGGCCCCTGTGTCCGCCAGGCGACACATACTTCCTGCACCATCTACTCTCCACTGTCCAAATAGACACACACGTACGCAGCCGGGACGCGTTACTGTAATGTCCCCAACAGCCTATCTGAAATGAGGCTCTGCAAACCTGCGGCTCTGCCATGCGTGTCCCTGTCGACTGCCAATTAATTCCACCCAGCCAATCGCTCCATCAGGGTCCCAGCGCCCCTGCCTGACGCCATCATCGACCCTCGACCCTCCCCATCCTACCATGGGGCTTTGACCAACCCAACAATGCCATCCCTTACCTTTGGGGCCCGTCTATCCCATCAGTCTAATCACTCTACACCCACAACGCCTCGTAACGTCCTCTTGCCTAATCAACCGCCCGCTGATACGGATCCTCATTGGCCCCACGTCTGATGTCATTGCTTTGATTTGCTTTCTTCTTCATGTTTGCTGCTACTCTACAGTCCATGCAGTAGGGGTATGTACACACAGTGGGGCAGCATGCTCTACGCCTGGACGACGGCTGCATACACATGTACATCCGCTAGTGATTCTTCTCAACAATCTCCTTGGCAAATGCTGCAAAGTCCCGCTTGTCGTCCACCTTCTCCCACAGGTTGGGCTGCGTAAACACGGCCAGTGTGTTCCTCGCAACCTTTCCACCCCCAGCCCCCGCTCCAGCACCCCGCACAAAGTGAGGCACCGCTTTGAACTTGCCTTGGGTGATGATCTCAAGCGCCTCGCCCGTCTGGAAGGCTAGGCAGTCGCGTGGGATGCTGACCTTGGTCACGGCGCCCGTGCGCGAGTGAATGTATAGGCCTGCCTTGGGGTCTGGCGATCGCTCAAGTTCCTCGAGGGGTGCAAACGATGCGCCTGCTCGCGGCACATTCGCTCCTTCATCTACAAACATGGCCGATGTCAGCCCGGTCAGGCACCCATGGTCGAGATGCGTCGCACACCAGTCGTCCTCGTCCCCGTTCGAAATCTCCGGGCCAGATGCGGGGCTGGGGAAGTAGTGCAGCAGCCGCGCTTTTGTCGAAACACTTGTCTTGACCACATGTTCGAGGTACCCCTTTTGATAGCCTTCAATGTTCGCTTCGGCGTACTTGTCGCATGCTCGCGCAACCAATGCTGCAATGTCAATGATCAGCGTACATAGCTCGCGGAACGTCGCCTCGAAGCCTGGCAGCAGCTGCTCCGATGGCCACACATTGGGTGCTGTGTATTCTGGGAACGACGGGTATTTCTCTGCCACTGCCTTTTGCTGCTCTTCAAACCCGGGCGCACAGTTGACATAGTATGAACCCTTTAGAGTGTCGTATTTGCCATCCTTCAGCGTCTCTTTCCCACATGACCATCCAACCAGCCACTTGGAAGCGGGCGATTCAAGCTTTGCTAAGACACGATCAGCTCGCTTGAAACTCAACCAGATACAGAGCGTCTATGCTTACCCAGTTCGTCCTGAGACAGGTTTCCAAGAGCAGATGCATACGAGAGCAGTCTGTGGCGCAGATCATGAAATCTCGACGGGAGATCCTTTACAACAATGATACCCAGACTCGCGGGGCCAAACGCTTCCTCGAGTAATGCAAACTCAACATCGTCTGCAATGCCAACATCAGCAAAGCCTGCCTTACCACCGTGAACAATGCATCCACCACCACTTACTGTTTTTGAGAGCATCCAGCCCGACAACGACAGCGCTCTGGTTCACGGCAGCATTAGCGTTGGCCATGATGATTGCTCACAAAAGAATACTCTGGTATTCGACAATGACCACGCACTACGTCGTTGACTTTGACACTTTATCGTCGTCTGGGCAGCGCACAAGTGGTGCAAGCCTAACCCACAATCTCCACTTGGACCTGCCTGATTTGCGCCAGCCTCGGCCAACTCCGATCTCTCACCTCCGACGCCGCATCCTAATACCTCGACCCAGGACCGCAAACATGCCAAAAGCCCTACACTTCAAGGGTGACAAGAAAGTCAAGAAGCGCAGAAAGGCGGCCGAGCCATACGATGTCGACAACGTCCACTCGAACCAAGTCACGCCCAGCGCCCCTGCAGAACCTGAGAATGACGACTCTTGGGTGAGCGCGGATGCGCCCAGCGACATCTCTGGACCCGTCCTTATAGTCCTTCCCACCGACAAACCCACCTGCCTGGCATGCGACGCAAATGGCAAGGTGTTTGCTAGCGATCTCGAAAACATTGTCGAGGGCGACGCTGCAACCGCCGAACCGCATGATGTGCGTCAGGTGTTTGTCGCGACTCGTGTCGCAGGTACTGAGCAGCTAAGTTTGAAAGGCCACCACGGCAGGTACGACGACAGAACCCTAGGCATTCTAGACTCTGCCCCCTCCCCATACGCCGGCAATTGGCTTACTCGCTTTTCTAGATACCTTAGCTGCGACAAGTTCGGCGTCTTGAGCGCGACTGCAACGGCAATTTCCCCAGAAGAAACCTTCCTCGCCGTCCCTGTGCCCGACAATGCCTCTGCATTCTCACTCCAAACTGCGCGCGACAAGTTCATCAGTGCTCGCGACTCCAAGGCTGGCCCCGAGCTACGCGGCGATACGGAACATATTGACTTCACGACTACGCTGCGTATACGCATGCAGGCGCGATTCAAGCCGCGCCTCAAGGCAAACAAGGAAGAAAGGGCAAATGTAAAGATAAGTCGCAAGGAGCTGGAAGACCAAATCGGACGCCGGTTGGATGATGCCGAAGTCAAGAAGTTGCGGAGAGCAAGGGCTGAAGGAAACTTTTACGAAACTGCCTTGGACATGAAGGTCAAGTCTAGCCACGACAAGTATGCCAGTATGTGAAGGCACAACACAGCCATATGCTCTTTGCTACACCACTCTGGTAAGAAAGAAAAAGAGAGAGGGGCATACGCCGTGTCCCCCCTTCACATTGCTAGCGCTACTAGTATTAGCGTGTATAAAAACAGCAGTAGTGGTGGGCTCCTGCGTCTTTTCGTAACGCTACTATACACTTTGCCTGATCGGCAATCGCAAACACCCCAGGATCACATATTTAGCTCCTCCCCCTCCTCGTGTCATGGCCTGAAAACAGTTTCAAAAGCATAAGCGCCCTTCACATTTTGTGTGCCTGGTATTGACGCACGCACTGGGGAAGGGGGAGAAGCCGATAAAGTAATAAGCTTGCATTTATTTATTAATGCAAGTCCCAGTTTGCCAGATCGCTCTCTGAGCTAAACGCAAGCCAATGACTAGCCTAGATCTACGATTTCCACGTCATGCGAAAGCCACCGTTTAAGCAAAGAAAAAAAAGAGTTACAATCGTTGCAACTTAGGTCATGTGAGACGGATTTTGTCCTCAGAATTTACTAGCCTAAGACTTCATTGATGCTTCGTGTGGATTGGCTTTAATCACCGCGTATACAAAGTTCAATCAAATCTGCTCATACTCAAATACATTTTCTCTCGCCGCAAAAGGAACAAGGACCAGTCTCGTCTTGATGAAATCGCTGCATTAACATGCTAGGATATCTTTCAAGTCCCAAGCTAGAATCTATACGCTTCTGACGTGCGAATGTGGCCTCCATGTGCTACAAAACACCTCATATCCTTTACTAGCACAAATGGTGACCGCCAATGGGCACAGTTGTGCTTGCTCTGCTTTTATCCCCACGCTCAGATCTACAATCAAGCACACACCGTCATGTCTCATGCCCCGCATATGTATACACGCATCTAAAACTTGTACACCTGGTCCTTGCTGTAGCCAAGCTCCTTCAGGTACCCATCAAGCTCGCCTTGGTCAGACGGGCTCTTCTTGCCACCGCTGATGGCCTTGTACATGCCGGGAGGTCCGCAAACAAATAGCTTAATCTTCTCTCCCTCCTTTGGCTCAGGAAGCACAGTCTTCAGAAGCTCCTTGGTAATGTATCCCTTGCCGCCTTGCCACGACTCTGGTGGGTTGTCCAAGACGTAAAATGCCCGGAATCGTTGGGGGTAAGTGTTCTCCAGCTCCTCAAACTCGCGCTTGAGCAGAATGTCCTCCTCAGTCACATTGCCGTATACGAGCGTCACCTTGGTCTTGTCCTCGGGGTTGCGGAAAATGGCGCGTGCTGTTTGCCACATGGGTGTGATACCAGTTCCACCCGCAATCAGCGCAATGTGCTCAAACTTGTTGGGTGACCATTGGAATTTTGGAATGGGTCCCTTGATATCTAGTCGCTGACCAGGCTCCATGCTGTGCATATGCTCCGACATAGGTCCGTTCGGGTAAGCCTTGATGATGAAATCTACGGTGCCCTTCTGGTCTACGTCGCTGATGGGAGTGTACGGTCGAATGACAGGCTTCTGCATTTCGGGACCCTTGTACTTGGTGATGACGGCAGCTATATAGAGTCAGTGAGCTTCTACATGTTTGCCGAATGTGGACATACAAGCTACAGGCAGACCGCTCTCCATGTCCTCCTCAGGCAACTTGAAGGTAAGCTTCTTGGTGTTGTGGTTGACAATCTCAGATTTGTCCAACACAAGCGAGAGGAAGCCTTGGTCGCCTCCAGTGAAGGCCTTCTTAGCAGGGCCACCAGTTGAGGAGGGAATCTTGTTAGCTTCCTCTGACGGCGGTGCGTTGCCCTTCTGCCCTGATGGTGAATCACCGCCCCTCAAGAATAGGTAGGCACCTGCAAGACCCGCAGCACCAATTCCTGTGTAAAGAACACCATTGTTGCCGCCGCTCTTGGGCGCCTCGGATGCATATCGGCGGACTTGCTGGTCTCACACATTAGTATTTGGCCAAAGACTGAGAGTATTTGTAATGCGCAAATTGAAGAGAAAGCTCGCGCATACCTGGTGCAGCGTCCTGACCGGGCGGAGTACCTGTCTGGCGAACATGGCGAGACGAATTGGTATGGTAACAGGGGGAAATGAGGAGTAATTGAGGTGCGTGAGGGAAAACGAGACGTTATCGAGGTACTGAGCTTGCGCTCGTAGTGAGCTAATGCCAAGCAAACGTCATCGCTTGCTGACAAGCTGCCGAAGTCCGGACTCAACACCACTCCGGTATCTCCGACCCAGCCACCGGGTATCGTGGGCCATTTTTCCTATGATGATATCAATTGCCTCGGGAGATCGATGGTCAAGATGATAGATCTATATAATCCGAAGCCGGTTTGGAAATATGCATACTTGCACATCCGGAGGTGCTATATCATCACTGCCGATGTTCACGATGAGATGATCCCGATTCGATGAGCGCCATTGATATGCGCAGATTTCATATAAGATTTAACATGAAGGGCTCCTTGAATTAGCCGAACTTAAATTGCAGGAAAAGACAATATGCTAGATTTGCAAGATCTGAATCAATGGCTCTCGACTATACATGTCACTTGGATAGCATTGCTTTCATTGTTCACGTAGTGTTTGTGGCAAGAAGGTATGACTTCTTCGAAACCACTATGTAGTAATGTTTGACACCAGAAGATGCTTAGTAACAAAGTGGTAGAGAGTCAAGGTAGAAAACGAAGTCTCGTCACATTTGCTATTCCATTTCCTTCGTTTCAGATATCGTGATGTCAGCAAAATCCTGGTCTATACTCGCTCATCTTCTTGTTTCTTGTTTTGTTTTCTTGATTATGAGTCACATTTGACAATGACGAAACATCCGTAATCACATATCACAAGAAGCATTATGTTTAGCCACTGGAAACATCGATACAACCGAATCCTCATAGCTTCAGTACAACTGATGCCAGCCATTTCAAATTGACATGATCATTTCCGGACTCGATAAATTAAGCCCTCAGAGTCTGATATGTCGAACAATCAAAGGAGCTGAATAAAATAAGAAATAGTTTTGCAGCTTTCAACCAAGGGTATTGACATGAAGAAGCAGGATTTACGTGGCATACAATCAACATTTTATTAACCCTAACTACCACAAATCAAGCACAAATGTCGAAAAATAATCGGTACTTCCTTTCCTACGAGAAGAAAGTAAAATAGTACCGTGAGTGGGTGAAACAGAGGAGATTACAAAACATCACACCGCCGCATATTCTCCAGTATTTTTGAAGCTGTACTATCAGAAAGCGATTCATACACCGAATGTATTGCTCACAAGCGCACTTCAATTACGCCAATTGCTGCTATGAATGTATGTAATATCGAACCCGAAGCCCTTCCAACAAAACGCCATTCATGCTTTAATTTACACTACTGGATATTTAATGTCCCACTCCTCCTGCAACCCAATTCATGAATTCCGGGTCATTAGGGTTGGGGAAAAGGCCTCTGTCTTGCTGCGGCTCTGCTTGTGCCTGCTGCTGTTGGGGTATTGGTATACCTTGATTGAGCTGCGCTTGCTGTTCCTGCTGCCGTCTTCTTTCTTCTTCCTGTCGGCGCTGTCTTTGTGTTCGGTAGTAGAGTAGAAAGGCCAAAACTCCGCTGAGAGCCAAGATAATGAGTGACTCAAGTATGTCTGAGTCAATGTCATCGCCGTGATAACCGTCTCCGTAGAAATCATCGCCCCCATCGTCATAGTCGTCGGGCTCGTAGTCGTCCCAACCAGCAAGTTCGGCTTCGAGGAACGCACTAAGCCATTCGGAAAGAGTCCAAGTTTTCTTGACCACTGTGACACATTAATATTGAAGAAATGATGGTTTAGATGGTAAGTCATGACATACCTGGTTCTTCCTGGATAGACTTAATGTTACCATTCGTGAACGTGTTCCACCAACTCCGGAATCTCAATTTA